GCTCCCTCGGTGCCCCCGCTCTGCCGCGGCCCCAGCCACCCAGGGCAGCTGCCCTCCCATGCAGCTGGGTGCTGGGGCCAGGCCCTCCCAGCTGGGGAAGGGGGAGCTCTGCCCCCCACGCTGGGCCAGGCTCTGCGACGCTGCTCCAGGGCTCGGCCTGGGCACGCTGCTCAGGTTGGGCTGGTGCCGCCCTGGGAACAAGCCCTCTCCCAGCTGGAGCCAGCAGCAGGAGGAGTTCAGCTGCCCCCACCCTGAAGGCAACGGTGGGCTGGGGGTAATCTCCCCCAACCCCGGGGGAGCAGGGGAAGTGGAAGAGGCACGTTGATTGCAACCTGTCTGCAGGTTGTACATTCCTCAGCGAAGGCCCTCGGGACGGTACTGTCCTAGGAAGGGGGGCACTACAGATCTTCATCGCCAATGCCCTCAAAGGCATAATTGCCATGGAAGTCATTAGCACCCACATCGTTAGTAGAGCTGGAGTGGCTGATCCCTCGCAGACTGACAGAGGTGAGCTTGCTCTGTGGAGAGGGGAGACATTAGAGAGGACCCCCGCTCCCCCCCTGCTCATTCCAAGGGCAACAGCACCAGTGTGCCTGCACACAACTCACCGAGAGTTTGGCCATCGGCTCCCGGGAGGCATCAGGTGAGTCCTGTGGGGACAGCATGGTCAGGCAGCGGGACACAGCACCTGCTCTTCCCACCACATGTCTCCCTTGCTCCTGGCCACCACTCGCCTTCCTGGGACTAGGCTAGGCCACGCCACCATCCTTTCCCTCCTCCAGGGAGTCCGGCTCCCAGGTATGGGTCTTGGACCCCTTTCTCTTCCCAGGGCCACAGCTCTGGTACCCGACACACAGTGAAGCCCATGGTCATACATGTCTCCCCTACCAGAGCCGTAGGGTCCCACTCACCAGCAGTGGGGGCGACTTCACAGCTTGCTGGCTGTCCGAGCGCCGCAGGGCCCCATTCACCCGCCGGCGAAACATCTGCAGGGGAGGAGGTTGGCTCAGCCACAGAGTCCCCACGGGCAGCTCTAGAGGTTAACATGGCCCCTGGGGATCCTTCAGCTGGCCCCATCCTGAGGAGAGCAAGCAAGGCCCAGCCTAGACCCCAGGGAGTCACACGGGCAGGATGGAATCCCACCACAGAGACAACGTCCAGCCCCAACCATCACCTTGCGGATGCTGCCTCCAGACTTTTTCACCATCAGCTCGTCCACCATGGACTGCAGGCAGATGCTGAGCATGATGGCCTGCAAGGGAGAAGTGTCACGAGTTTCCATGCGCCTCACAGCCTTCCCAACACACCACGCTGAGCCCAGACTGACTCTCTCCCTCATGGCTGCCCCCTTGCTCCCACCCTTGTCCACCACCAGCCTGGCATGCAGGCAGCCCTACCTGTGGACTGGTGATGGTGACCCACTGCAGCCGGTCTTTAGTCATTAGATACTCAAAAGCCAACTCCAACTTCACCTCAGACTTCCCTGGGCTGCTCCCCGAGGGACCGTTGCTCATCGGCACCTGCAAGGGCACACGCTGAGGCTGGGAGCCTCCAGAAGGAAAGCAGCCAGCTTCCCAGGCCTCTTTGCTGGTGGAGGGCAGCCCCCAGCCAGGTGCTGGACACCCTGCCCAGCTTCCACTGGCCTTCCACCACCATCAGGCCCCTCAAACATCTTCACACCAATGATCCCCTCAGCCCCAGAGCACAACTCAAACCCTCCCTAGGCCAGCTGGGCTGGAAGCAGGCAACACAGCCAGCACCTTTCCCAGGGAGAGCTGCCAGACCAGCTGGGCACAGCTGGGTCCCACCAGAGCCCTCCCTGCTCCCCAGGGCCCCACAGTCAAGTGGCACTCACCGAGGATGTGACCCGCCAGCACCGCATGCGCGTGACCTTGAAGCTGCCTTCCTTGATCTGATCGCTTGGTAGCCGCACCTGGAAGTTGAGTTCGTTGTTGCCAGCACTGACGACGACGTGGCATCCCTTCTCAGGGAAGTCAGTGACACAGGGGTCGAACTTGAGATAGCCGTAGTACTTCAGAGTCTGTGCCAGGCGGATGAACTGCGGGCAGAGCCAGGGAACCTCAGCACAGATGGCCACCCTCCCGGGCCAGGAACAGGCAATGAACTCAGCACTGCGTGTTCACGTGGGAGCGGTGCGGGGACTGCTCCAGTCACAGCATCATACCCTCCCCTACCTCCTTCTTGGAGACTTTTTCCTGCAGGGACTTTAGCTGCCGGTGCTGTTCCTTGTTGACAAGGATCCATCCATGCTCAATGTCTGACACCGTCTACCAAGAAGCAGAGGCTAGTGAGCAGCTGGGCCCAGAGCCACCTGAGACCCCACACAGCCGTAGCTGAGGGGTACGGTGCCCTCTTCACCCAGCTGGGCTGCACCAACCCTCACCTGCGCGTACAGCAAGTTCAACCCCACACGATGCTCCATTACATCATCGTCATAGGAGGAGTCCCAGTAGCTAGAAGGGAACATGGGTCAATCTATTCCCCAGCTCCTAACAGCAATGGGGAGAAAAACACCACCCATGCTGGGACAAGACGTCAGGCTGTCTCTGGCCAGCTCCCCTGGTAGCTGTCAGTTGCCATGCCCCACTCCCCCTCTCAAGCAGCTGCCAGGAAAGGCCGTGTCTGGGAAAGCAGAAACAGAGGCCAAGCCCAGCAGGGCAGCCCAACCCCTAGTGTCACAGCTGGGTACGCCCAGGTGTGTTCCTGGAGGCCAAAGCACCCCGCAGGAGGCAATAGCAGGAGGGGAGGGGTCCCACTGCAGAGCAGGGAGCCCCGGACACCACCCCACTGCTCCAGCAGTCACTGCCCCTCCAGCCCTGCCGCTCACCTCTTGCGCAGGATGATTCTGAACTCCGAGTTGTGCAGGCTGGTGACGGACACATACGGCAGCTCAAACTCCTGCAGCTTCCGCACGACTGCAGGGAAACAGCAGCTCAGCAGCAGCTCAGGGTAGCAGAAGCCCACCAGACACCCACCAGCCAGGGCACCCCAGGGGAACCCACTGGTTTCCCCCCACCCAGGGCACAGCCATGTGGTGCAAGCACACAGCTCTCGCTCCAGGGCAGGGCCCAGGGCAGACATCCCACTGCAGCCCTCATGGGGCTCCAGCATGTTCTACTCACAGGAGAAAGCTCCGTCCTTGGTCTCTCTCACTAGGAAGAGGCTGAAGTAGCCAACCAGGTCATCTGGCAGATCCAGCTTGGAGGCCACAGCCTGGGAGTGAGAGCAGGAGGTCATCACTTCCCACAGAAAGGCAGCACTTCTACATCCTTACCCCATGGCAGGACCCAGCCTGTGGGTGTTCTGGGGCCTCCCAGCAGCAGGAAGGCAGCACCTCTGCTGTACTGGGGGCCAGGGCAGGGGGGGCAAGCGGACAAGTGGGGCCTGGGGCATCATGCCACCATGAAACAGCTGGGGGCCTGCTGACATCGATCTGGGCCCAGAGAGGGGCATGAGCACATCGACACACCCTCTCCAGCTCTACTGCTCTTCAGCCCCCCAGGACAACCCTGCTCTGGGGCAGGGACGTGGCAGGGAGGGCCAGGGGGCTGCCAGGCTGAGGGAATTCCTGCACGTGTGGGAAATCACAGAACTCAGCAGGAGGAGCTGGTCCTGCCCAGCACAAGCGCTTTGGCACCTCAAGGACATCCTCTGTCTGGTCCGAGGTAAGGATGGTGACCTTGACCATCTGGCCATTGGAGAGCAGCACTTCCAGCACCACCTCCTCTGTGGGTATCTGCTGCGTCTCCTGGAGAGAGAAACAGGACTGCACCTCCACCACCGACCACCCTCACGCCGCTCAGAGTGCCCCGCAGTCCAAGGGCCCCAGCACGTACCACCCGGCCCCAGCGTTACCACCCGGCCGTGGCGGTCAGCACTCACCCCTGTGCAGGCTGCCCCAGCAGCCCACCACATCCAGCAGCTCCTGCCCCCTCACCTGCTGGGCCTTGCGCAGGAAGCTGTTGAAGGTCTCACTGCCTCCCAGCGTCTGGTCCTGCCGCACTGGAGGTGGAAGACGAGCAAGGAGTCAGGCGTTATGTGGGAAGGGGCAGGGACCCACACCAACACCCATCCACTCTGCGGCCCCTCAGAGCGTGCACCTAAACTAAGCATGTGCTGCCTGTAGGGCATGCACATGGGTGGACTCCCCACAGGTGGAGGCATCAGCAAGGCTCCACCTCTGCCAATGCAGGGAAGGTGCTGGGATGGAAGAGCTGACATCCAGTGGACAAAAGCCTAGCTAATACCAGAACGAGACTGGGAGTATCAAGATGGGCCACAGCAAATGGAGCAGTGTGGGGAGGAAGATGCGGGCAGTGCCCCGGTGCCCTGAACGACCAAGTGAGGGGCAGCCAGCCCTGAGCTGAAGCATGAGGCAGACCCAGCTTACCAGCCTGCATGTATTTCTCCAGCTGCTCCCGTCGTTGCTCTACCTCTGCCGGAGTGAGTGTGAAGATCTTCTTTGGGGGAAAGGCTGGGACCACATTAGCGCCATACTCTTTCCTTAACTGGGAAGAGAGCAGAGTGCTGCAAGAGCCTCCAGGGAGACGGTGGCTGCTTTAACCCCCGCCCCCCCCAGCTGATTTCCAAGGCCCTGGCACGGCAAGCGGAGAGCTCGCCAGTGTTCCTCATCCAAATGGGCAGCCAGCAGTTTGCAAGAATCCAGCCAGGCTGCCACAGAACAGGAGAGGAGGCCTGCACCTGATGCCAAGGAACAGAAAACAACATCCTGGCCGGCCCCATGGGCAGCACTGCGCAGCACACGCCTGCCCACACCCAGCGCAGTGCCCG